AAGTTTCTTGCGGATGGTACTATTGATCGTTACAAGGCTAGACTTGTGGCGAAGGGCTTTACTCAGGTACCAGGTCGTGATTTTGGTGCTACATTTGCCCCTGTGGCAAAATTGACTACTGTTCGGTTGATTATTTCTCTGGCTGCCGAGTACTCTTGACCTCTTCATCAATTAGATGTGAAGAATGCGTTTCTTCATGGTGATCTGGACGAGATTATTTATATGGATGCACCATCGGATTTTCGTGGTCAGGAGGAGTATGCTGGAAAGGTATGTCGACTGCGTAAGTCTCTTTATGGACTGAAACAGTTGCCACGAGCCTGGTTCTCTCGCTTTAGTGATGTAGTCGTACAATTGGGGTTCACCAGGTGTCATTTTGATCATACCTACTTTATTCGACGGAATACTTCTGGACAGTGTGTCATTCTTCTGGTATGTGTTGATGATATTATTATTATTGGTGATAATGTTTCTGGGACTGCGCAGGTCAAGATAGATCTTGGGACGGTCTTCGATGTGAAGGACCTTGGATTTCTGCGATACTTTCTTGGGATTGAGGTTGCCCGTAGCGGCAGGGGTGTTCTTTCTCAAAGAAAGTATGTTTTGGATCTTCTTTCAGACACTGGGATGTTGGGGTGCAAACCGGCATCATTACCCATGATTCTAAACCTGAAGCTTACTGTTGAAGGTGACGAGTTGAAAGATCCGACAGTTTATCAAAGATTGGTAGGTAGACTTATCTACTTAGCCAATACTAGGCCGAACATTTCATTCGCAGTTAGCCGTGTTAGTCAGTTCATGTACAGGCCATGTCAGCCTCATCTTGATGCAGTTTATCATATTCTTCGGTACCTNATTGAGCATATTAATACACCTGTTGTTAGTACTGATGAGATTGCAGGTGCTGAGCCAGTTCATTTACCTGATNTATCTACTTAGCCAATACTAGGCCGAACATTTCATTCGCAGTTAGCCGTGTTAGTCAGTTCATGTACAGGCCATGTCAGCCTCATCTTGATGCAGTTTATCATATTCTTCGGTACCTCAAGTCTTGTCCTGGACTTGGGTTATTTTATGTATCAGGATCTCAGACCGGTTCTCTAGCCTGTTATTCAGATTCAAATTATGGGGGAGCATGTGATGGTCAATCTACTACGGACTTCTGTGCTTTTCGAGGGACTCATCTTATCTCTTGGAAGAGCAAGAAACAAGCAATTGTCTCCGCTCATCAGCAGAGGCAGAGTATCGGGCACTGGCACTTGGCACGTGTGAGATTATTTGGCTATGATCGATTGTTGGCGAGTTGGGTTTTTCAGTGACCTCTCATTCCACATTATATTGTGATAATCGATCTGCTATTCAACTCACTTTTGACTCTGTACTACATGAGAGGACGAAACATATAGAGATTGATGTTCACTTTCTTCGGGAGAAGGTTAGTAGTGGTATTGTCATTCCATCGTTTGTAGGGACCAGTGATTAGGTTGCAGATGTTTTTACCAAACCGGTCACTCTGTCTATTCTTCGGGACTCCGTTGTCAAGCTTAGCTTAGTTGACATTTTTGCGCCTAGCTTGAGGGGGAGTGTTAGAGATATAGCAGCAGCCTAGTTTATTAGGGTCTTATTAAGTTTTTATTTTTTACCTTTTTGTCCTTATAGTAACTCTCATTGACTATATATATGGGGACTCTACACTTAATTTGTATCCCTTTTCACTCACAAATATTTCAAGTTAAACTCTCTGGGTGCCAGCTAGAATGCGGCGATAATCTACGAACTCTATCTCGAGCTATATGTTTGGTTACTCCTATATCAACAATCTGCACAGGATTAATGTGAGCAACTAATACATGTGTGCATACATAAGCACAAGAACTGAGAGAATCAAGGGTAGTGGGTACCTTCATTGGCTCAGCAATCACGAGCGATGTGCCCCAGCTTTCCACAGTTATAGCACTTTATTTTGCTCATCTTTTTTCCCACTATGCTTACCTTTGCGGCGCTTGGTTATCTTATCTGCCTTGAGCGCAAACCTGCTAGCCTCATCCTACCTGCCCTATTCGCCTTGTCCTTTACGTCTATCATGGTGCTTGCCACCCTGGGCGAAAAAGGCAGTGGTACGGTTTGCCTCTTGGTGCTTCACCTCTAGCTCCACATGGTGAGAGATGCCAACAAAATTCTTAATGTTGTCATTGTGGGTCATGATTTGTTTCATGTTAGTCTAGGAACCAGACAGAGATTTAATAATAGCATGGACCTTCTACTCATCAATGAGTTCATTCTTTACAGCTTTAAACTCAAGAATCATACTAGACATCACCCTAAGATGTTCAGTTGGGAATCTTTTTTGTAAGTTTCAAACTTAAGAGTAAGTGCCCTTAGTCTAATGATTGAAGTACCACCATAGGCAAATTTCATCTGATCCCACATATCTTTGGCAGTGGGGTAATTCTCAAATTCCCCTTGAAGATCGTCGTATATGTTGTTAAGCATGGTATAATGCGCACTACGATATTTCTTATCCCAAGCTTTATAGGCTTCAAGATCTCGATAATATTGGGTCGTGGACCAATCCTTGGGTTGAGTAATTGAACTGGTCAAGTGTTCCAGGAGCTCTTGCTTATTCAACAAAAATTGTATTTTTCATTGCTTTATGTGATAGTTGGTCCCATTCAATTTATCACCCTTAGTAAGGTCAGCAACTAGATTCATGGTGGCCATTTGATCACTACATGGATATGTGCAAGGTTGACATTAGTTTCACATCTGTTTAATTTGTTCCAAAAAACCAATCAAAAAATATTTTCCTTTCTCATATAATAAGATCGAAAATGTGCTGAAAAGCCAATAATCTTCACTTCTTCATGTGAGTTAGGAATATATTTTCTAATTGTTTCTTGAACAAATTTATCTTGGGAGGATTTAACCTCTCCCACTTTCTTCACATAACCATAATTAAATCGTCATATTTGCATCCATATTATTACACCACAAAACAAATTGCCCATGGGCTCCACTGAGCCCAATGACATTATTAAGCTTATGTTAAGAAAAATTCTACATGTATAATGTGCAGTATGAAACACTTCCCCTTACAAAGTTTCAATATAATAATACAACCCTTTGATTACATTTCCAACAAGAACCTACTACAATCTAATCAAAATAATAATGGGGATGCCACGCTTCACATTATACGTAGCAGAATAATTCTTATTCCATACATCACACAAACATAAGTTTATAAATAAATAATACCAATTTTTAATCAACCATCTATTATTCTAAAACTAGCATACTATCACATAAAAGTAATACCAATAGGTCTTCTTAAATAGATGGTTGTGCCACACTCACTCTCATAGGGAGCGGGATTCATATTTTCATGGGCATAATTTCATTTTAATGGCATTTAATTACATTCAATTAGTCAAAAATGCTACATAATTCATTCATTACCAAGAATAGTCATTCCACGATGCAAAAATATTTTTTAGGATCCTTAATCCACTTGAAATATAATAGAGGGTCACAAACGTTATAAAATCACATGTACGCATTTTAATTATTTTTGGATCCAAAAAATATCCAAAAATACCAAATAATGGAAGAAAATTTGCACAATTTTAATACAAACCTAAAACAATGGCTATGACTCATATCCAACCTCTATATGTCAAAAATATACCATTTGGAATTTTTATTGAACTTTTAAACAAATTCTAAAAGAGTTTTCATTCTTAAAACAAATAATAATAAAAAATTTCAGCAATATATTTGTAGTTTAAAAATTATGTAGAGGTCTACAAATGTTTAAATAATACATATAGCCTACACTTTACAACTTTGAACTTAGTTCTTCAAATTTAAAACGAATAGTGAATGCACTGCCTTAACCAGCACACACGCACACTGTTCACATTTGGGTTTGCTTCAGTTTTGGCGTTGCGCAATTCCAACTTCGTGCACTTATTTCTTCCACATTACTCAATAAAAAAATGTGTATAATATACCGTTGGAAAGTCTACGTGACAAAGGTTCATCTTTTGTAAATAGTTCACATTAAAAATTACATTTTACATTTTGAAAAATGATCCAAAGTTTGAAAAAAAATATATAAATTTCGTAAGACCTGAAACTTCGATTTGATTTTTCTTGCAAACAATTTAACAAAACTTCATCAAATTTTATGTGTAATATTTTGAAAATATTTGGAACTAATCCACCAAAAAATTTGGTTCAAAAACTCGTCACAAAACTATACCTATTTTGCATGTTAATGACTATTTTTGGTCATGAATCATAAAGTATAAATATATATCATATGTTCAAGCATGACATATTATGGCGAATCAACAAATAAATCATACTCTGATACCAATGTTGACATTTAATCACACATAACACATAACGGGTTTTCGATATACCTTTTGAAGAACTCAAGACATACTAACAGGATTGTCTCTTGTTGTTTGGAGCCTGAGTATCCGAAACCCAAATCACGATCTAACTGCTTCTTGACACACTAAAAACTCGTCAAGGCAAATGAGTGGCTACTGGAGTTCCTCCTTGTAATCTCATGTTCACAAATCTAAGGACCGTTGGTGATAGCCCAAGAGAGATAATATGTGTAGAGAGATGAGAGATGTATTGTACATTCCTCATAGATGTTTAGAGACATATTTATAGGTGGTTATAGCCACTTAGATAAGCATGATTCCATGATCTTTTAAACTGATTAGAAGATAGAGATATATCTTCTGTAATCTCCTAAACTAATTAGGAGACGGAGACATATCCCTAACCAACCACCAATGACCGGGTCAAGCCCAGTTGCCCCATGTGGGCGGATCAAGGTTTGAGTTCGGGTCCAAATACTGATACTAACAGTTTACCTAAACAGGCATCCTAAAGATAAGGAAGTCTTGATAAGTTATCCGGTCAACTTGGCTTGCTTCTTCTCAGACAAACACCAAGTTTTGGACGTAATTCCATAGAAAATGTTGATTTGGTGTCAGATTGATCACATCAAGGAGGTTTTGTGTCAGGGTAAGTTGATTGAAACCTGCCCCTTGGCAATGCAGCATGTCAACTTTAGATGGTACTTCAACTTTAGTACTGTTTCCCTTTAACCTCAAATTGGGTATGCCAGACTGTAACTGATTTGGTGTTTGTCATTTCTTTCATGGTCATGTTGAGGGTTAAACCGTATAATATTGTATTGACAGTGTGAGTTTACGTTGTCATTTTGGATTTCAGGTGTACTCTTCATAGTTCTTTGTGAGCTTTCTCACATAAAAAGCTTTTTCTATTTGCAGGTAATCTCTAAGGATAGTGGTCCTCCGTTGAAACAGAATTATCCAGCATCTGCAGTCATGCATGCTGCTACAAGTACTGGTGGGTGAAAATATTATTTTGTAAATGTTTAGGAGGATATTCTGTTTGCATCAAAAATTATTCTGCACGTTGTATATGCAGCAACTAATGCAATTAAATGTTATTCTCTCAATTCAATTTGTTAAGAAAGATTGTTTAGGATATCTCGATGACTATTGATACACAGGTGTATACTGCGTATTAACAAAAGGCAGTGGGGAAACAGGGAAGCTGCAGAAGGCACGCTCCCTGGGAAAGGAAAGAAGTGAAGATATCATGGCTGTGGTCAGACAAAATGGTAATGCAAGAGGAAACTCACAAGTTGATAATCATAAGGAAAGAAGAGATTCATTTCCAGTAAGTGGCCACTGCAGCAATGCAAGTAGCAGAAACCAAAATGCTGCAGAGGTAGAAGAGTCCTTGGGAAGATTAAGAGGAGCTGCCAGAAGGGAAATTAGCACTAGTGACCAAGAGGCGTTGGACAACTCTGAAAAAAGGCCAAAAGGAGGTAATTTGTCTTCTAATCTACCACACAGTAGCACTGCAGAAAATTCATTTGAGAACCATTGCGACCACGAAGATCAGAGGAGTTTAATTCAGAAGCAAAGACCGCCGTTAGTCTCAAAAGCTTCACTCCCTCAGTGGACTGATGAACAGCTCAATGAACTTTTTGCCATCGACTATGAGGATGATGACTCTCTATTTTAATATGGCAATTAGATTACGATTTCACTCAGATAGAATGCTCTTAAAAATTTTGCAGAGGTTGCAAATGAGTTTTTCCTCCATTCCGTTCGTAAGAAGGCATTATTTGGTCTATATGCTGGCTGAATACCCTGGAAATCAAGTTTGGCTTTTCAGGATGTTGTGAAGAAAAAAGAACTTAATTAACCATCCTGTATTGTACAATGGGTTTATGTTGTGGCTTGTGGTCGCCTATAATCTTGGAAACCGATATTCACGAAGTTTGAAAAGTATGGGCCTTTATTCTTCGAAAGATTAATCAACTCAGGAGAGAGTAATTCCTGTTGTGAAGGGTTCATTTTGATCCCATGAGGACTTTTAAAGGTATTGTGATGACTAGACTGCAATACATACCTTCTATAACGGATCTTTTTATCAAAAATTTGTGGTTAAAATAGAACTTGGGGGAGGAAAATCAAATGCTGAAAAAAGGAAGCATAATGGTTATCATCATTTTGAGAAATTCGTTGTATGTAACATATGTGGACTTGGGATGAAAGAAAGCCATTTAGTCTTAATATTGTTACGTACATGTAATTAAGTTTGAATGAATTGAGAAGATTAAAATGCAAGCAAAAAAAAAAAAAAGTGCAAAATAAGCGCGCGGTTCAATACCAAAAGAAATATTGAACCCTTGTTTATGTTTATCTCCTTTTTAAACCAATTTTAATTCTAATTACGACAAAAACCAGGGCAATTGTTTATCCACTTGAACAAGGTGGTCCATATGATCTCTTGGACCAGAGCAGCGAAGCACCTCATATATCAACCGCAAACGATGAGGACAACTTCACCGACACATACTTCTTTCTAAGAAGCTTTAAGGGCGACTACTTGTTTACATAACACACGTGAATAGGATTTTGATAAATCAAAGGATTATGCCTAAAGCACTGGTCGAAGGTCTCTGAAACACTTTTGACACGAAAATAAAAAATGCAATAGTGTAATTTAGGTTTCTCTCTCTCTTCTTTTTGATTTTCTAAACATCCTATGGTGGGGGTGGGCTATAACCGAAGTAGGAGGAATCCTACTCATATAGAAAGAGAGAAATAAAAGAGAAATGCCAGACTTAGTTTTGTGAAGTCTCATAATTCGGGATTCTTTTTCAACCCGTTGATCACCCATTAATCTGCAGAAGTATCCGTGCATAACCCGACACCTCGTCATCATACAACTATTCCAACGTCTAATATTCAACAATTTGCCATCAATATTACTTCATTTACATCCTTTAAATAAAAAGGCCCACGACCCGAAAGCTTGACAAAGTTATTTTAAGTTTTTGAAAGTTTTGGAGGAGCTACTGGTAGCTCGTGTTTTTTGTACTGGTAGTTGACCCTTTGTCAGCAAGCTACCTGTACCTCAAGACTAGCTACCAGTAGTTGCTCACTGCTAGCGAGCTATCTGTACCTCAAGACTTACTATCAGTACTTGAGTCCACTGAAATCGTGTTATCGGTAACTAATCAACGTGCTACTGGTAGTAGGGCCTAGTTTTCCCCCAAATCAATCCTTTTTCAATTTCAACTTACCCAATCTAATACAACATTTATCCAAACTCATATAGCATCTAATTTTACACAAAATATAGCCCAAATGCGTTCATTATATAATCCTTTATACAACATTACAAGTTCAAAACCAATTACACATTTGTTTTACAAAAATGTAATTTAATGCCATAATTTGACTTTCTTTATCAATGAGGGCCCAAGTGAGAGTCGTTCACTGGCGCTTGTCTCGCACCTGAAATATTGTTCCCATAAAAGGTGAGTCACGCTCAATAGGGTGTCTCCTAAAAAGACTACTCTCCATCCCAGATGCATATGAAATAGTAACATGCAATACAATAATCAACAAGCACCCATTCAAGAATATACCATTCAATGAAGAATGCCACAATGTTATGCCATGTTATAAGGTAAGATTCACACATGCAACACAACCCGAGCCCTCCACCACCTCACATAACACATTCAATTCCATGCGTATGTATCCGGACATTCTAAGCCCCCGCCATTGATGTTACACATTTAATGACCGTTTATAAATTTCGGGTCTTTCTTGGGGTGGGCACTTATGGACTTCCACCAATGGGTATCCAATTGACATGACATCTATGGACTTCCACCAACAGCTCTGCATACGCTAACACACTTTATGGACTCAATACCAACAGAGTGCGTATTCAAATTACCGAGTTTTGCACCCGAGGGATAATCTAGCCCTTCTCGCTAACCCCAACCTTATTTTAAATACAATATGTGTGACTCAGTCGAATCTTGATCCAACCTTTCCAATCCCACACATCATTCACTAAGAATGGTGTTTGATAAAAAACCATGCACATACCCACACACATGTCACATGCCCATGAATGTGATGCTTTCTGTGCGTATGCAATGTAATGTACGGTTGTAATTCCAATGTCATGTTCGTCGTATCATGAGTATAGCACGACATACACAATTTTCACAGTCAATTATATCATAAGTATATAATCACATTTCATAATTTCCACCAAGCATATTACATCATATCCATTCAATAAGAATTCTTAATCATTCCTAGGTATTTTGTCAAACACCTATAAAGTACATAATCATGCCCAACACATCACATTATCCATGAAATTCCTAAATCAAACAATTTCCACCAACTCAATTCATGCAAGATTAGTTTAGTATATTTATATACTCTAGTTACATTAAGAGTACATCAAACAAGAGAATTCATGTCTAATCAAACTACCCATTTCATACGCAATCCTAGGTTAAAAATAAACCTAGCTAAGAGAAGAACCCTACCTCTTGAAGCGTAAGACGAGTGATAGAAATTCCAAGAAGCTCAAATCAAGTTTTAAATCTTGATTTTCAAAAATATTGATCTTGAGACTTCGGTGAAATCTACGATTTTGGTATGTAGATGTAACCCTCATGCGTAAATCGACTTTTGTTCTTGGTCCGAAGCAATCTGACTAAAGGTTGGCCCTAGATCGCAAAGAGAAGCTAGAAGAAACCATTTCTTTCTCTCTCTTCTTTCCTCTCTCTCTCTCTCTATCCAAAAATCAGCAGCCAAATGGGAAAAATTTTGATTTTCCCCATTTTTATGCCCCTAAGATACTTGGTCAACAATGCGCTACATGTCCCATCTTTTCCTAATCTGATTTTTTCCCGAATCAATTAAATCTCGTTCTGTGTTATTTTCAACACATTTTATTTGAACTAACTTTAAATTTTTTTTTGTATTTCAAAATTAAAACCGAATTGCATTTTTTTTGGTCAAGCGATATTTGATCGCATCGTAAAACATAAAAAATCTGACTGTCTCAAAATTCAACAAAAATTGACTGGGGTAATTCAATTTTGTGAGACAAATCCAATGGTGATGTCCATTTCATCATTCGAGTTCTAGAAAAATTCAAGTTTTCAACTTGTACCGCAATGGGTAATTACCATTTTGCCTTTTTCATAAAAATTTAAATTTTTCTAGGTTTTACATTCCTCCCCTTAAAGAAATTTCATCCCTGAAATTCACACCCACATGCACACATAACCACACGTATATGCAACAATCATATAATACTACATGACTATAAGAATTATACCTCTATCCTTGAACAAAAACAGATAACTGGCATGTATAGTGTCCTCACGCTCCCATGTCATCTCCTCCATATCAGGTGCTGTCATAGTACCTTCACCAGTCTCACGGTCTTACCTCACAAAACCTACTCTCGGTTATTCATGATATGCACTAGTCCCTCCTCGAAGGTCTCATCCGTATCAACAACTAGCTCCCCCCAATCCACCACATGCATAAGATCTGAAGTATATTTTCGGAGTATGGAGACATGGAATACCACTTGAACACCTGATAAATTTGGCGATAACGCCAACTGGTAAGAGACTGCACCAATTCTCTCAAGTACCTCGAAGGGCCTGATATACCTCGGCGATAACTTCTCTTCTCGAACCTGACCACTCCCCTCTTAGGCATTACCTTCAAAAAAACATGATCTTTGAACTCAAACTCTAGAGGTCACCGCCGTCTGTCAGCGTAGCTCTTCTGTCGACTCTTAGTTTGTGAGAATATTGTTTCGTATCAAGTCCACCTTCTCCGAGGCATCTCTAATAAAATTTGAACCAATTAATGTAAGATCCCGTTTTAAAATTAAATAAATATAATATTACTTTAAGAGTTCTCCTAAAATGAATAAAATAATGATAGAAACTTAGAATAATTGTTAAAATATTAATTACGAAATTTAAGTTTCAAGCGTATTTGACTTTCGGAATAAATTGAGTTTTAGAGATGTTTAAGTTTGAGAAGGGTGACTAAGTAATTTTATAAATATTTCTAGATCAAAATAAGGTTTCCATTGAATTCGGAATGTCAAAAAATAATGGAAGAGGTTATATGAGTTTGTATTAGAAGTTTAAAACTATTCTAGAGTTAAAACCTATTTTGAATAGGATTAGGGTGAAAAGGAATTTGATATAGCCTTCGTATTTTGGATATAACTATTTACCCTAATGTCCAATTAATCTAAAAGTTTTACATTAGAAACTAGACGCTACAAAAATATATTTCACAACAATTTCGTGAAACGGCATATAACTAGGTCAAAATCGAGTTAGAAGTCAAGCGCAGACTGCTACCCCCGCCCACTCGGGAATTCCCTATTTTTCAGCCTATAAATACCCTAGGGCCGTGATCTAAAGAGCCATTACCTAATCTTCAACCCCAATAAACCTAGAAAATTTTGAGGAGAAGAAAAGGAGGAAGGATGGGATAAATCTTGTAGGTTTAACGTGTGGTAATCGCAATGAAACACATTAGGATTAAGATTTAAGAATTAAGGTGGGGGATTCTTCTTGAGTTCTTTCATTGAGACTTAGGGTATTATGTATGTATATTTTCAATCCTCTTGATAATTATATGATAAATATGTATAAATTCTTAGTTTCTTTATCATTGGAACATGGTCTTAAACAAAATACATGCTTGGGTTCAAGGAACACTTGTTCTTGAATTTTCAAAACCCTAGTTTTTCCAAAATACATGTTCTATTGTGAAATTCATATGGATTCTTGATTTCTAAATTCCTATTCTTGATTAAATCATGTTTTCATCTAATATTTGTTCTTGTTCTAAGAAATTATGATTTTTGGCTAAACCTTAGAATTTTGATATCGAAATTGTGAA